TCTTGTTCGATTTTGCTAGCATTCTGCTAGGAAAACGACCACGAAACAGAGTTTGGCTCGGGCCCATTTCGTGTGGACCGCCAAAAACATGCCAATGTGTGACTTCTGTTGCCGTTTTGCATCTAACCGCTGCGTCCGCAGCAGCCGGCTTTCGGACTACGCGACCCTCAAGTGTACTTTTGGCAAAGCCCCGGAGGTCAGAAAAGGAGGCGAGAGAGAATTTTGGGCGATGAAGGCTTGAAGAGGCGCCGTGAGTTTCAGAAGTGATTTTTCAAAGCTCCCCATCGTTGTTTTGTGGATTTTACCTGGTGCAGCGTTTCGAGGCAAATCGGCGATATGGTGATTTTGCATAGGAAAAGCCCGTGAAATCCCGAACAAAAATGCGGGCGGCGACCATGGCCTGTGGCAAAGTGCTGGAGTTGTGACGGCAATGAAGAGGAGGCCTAAAAAATACATGGCGAGAGTTTTGTCCTGCCAGAAGGCATGAACAAAGAGAAAAGGATCACGCACATCGGTGCTGTTTTTCGCAATGTATTTTGGAAATCCGGCGCTACCGATGTACGAACGCGGAAGGCGCAGAAAGCGCAAAAAGCGCAGAAAGCGCCAAAAACGCATATGTATATACATATATATGTGTGTGTATATATATATATATGTGTGGGTATCCCTCTCTCTTTCTTTCTTTCTGCAGGGCGTAGGGGTCGCGCGCCCCCCAGGCCTTTGGCCCGCCCAGCTCACCCCCCGTGTTATGGAGTGGCCGGTAACGGGGTCTTTCCTGATTACGGCAGGGAACTACGCAGTATCCACCTCGTTTTCGTGTAGTTATCCCCGCCTAGAACACTATACCCCGCGCATCCCGGCCTCATCGCCGGGCCCCTATGGCAACCATTAGTCCTCAGTCCTTCTAGGCGGGGTACACCGTGAGGGCAACCGTCGTATTGCAGCCAGATGAGGCTGATCTCGTTCCCCCTAAGATCAGGTCTACGGCACCATGTAATAACCCTATCACTTCCTGAACAGAGTGCTTGCCTCCCCCTCATCGCTGCCTGTTTTCAGCAAAAGTGTGAGACTGCTACGGGGTCCCCTCCCTCCGTGAGCCTCATGCGCAACAAAACCAGTACTACCACAAGCTAGGTAAAGCTTAGCGGGCCTCAACGCTCGAAAGACTGTACGCTAGGTGGTCCCCTCCTCAGTGCATCCTTCTGCTTTTTGAAGGTATGCTGTCTTTCCCCTTCTGTCGCTCTTTCTCTGACTCTCTCTCTCTCGTTCCATGTATCAATAAGGAGCCCCTCTTCCACTTTTGTAGAACGTAAAGAAGACCCATGTAGTAGATGGTGGGCCTCATTCGGAGGGTCTGCTTGCCGCCAAAAAGGACACGCAGCAAGCAGCAGAAAGCGGAGCGCAAAGCACACGCATGCAGAGGGCAAAAAGCAAAAACAACAGAAAGCAAAAGCAAAAAGCAAAACCAACAGGCCAAAGCCCAAAAGCCGAATAAGCAAAAACGAAGAACAAAAAACATACAAACAAAATCAAAAAATGCAAAAAAATAGGATTCCGTTCCAGAGAGGTGCTGATAAGGATCCAAAACGTGAAGGAGCCTCAGTGATTGCTGGAACTCCGCGGTGTGTCGACAATGTCAATTGTTGGGGCAGGCAGAAGTCGCACGGACTTATGAAGCCGCTTGCGACTCTGTCTGTTTGTACTGCGGCCCATTATGAGTGCATGCATGTGCGGAATGGGACTACTTGCAGAACCTTACGACTCTCACACAAACACTTCTACTTCGTGGGCATCAGCTACCGGATTTTCTGCTCTGGGTCAGCTGCCCACCGTCCGATACGTCCCTCACACCTGACGTCTCATTCCCACTAACGGATATTAACGAAACGCTGTTGCAGCTTTCAAACGCGATGCGTGCGTTCGTGCAGGTCGTCGTGAAATGGCTGCAGCGGAGGCGACAGCTCGTTCGCAGAGCTGGGCAGGGGACATCTGCGGTTTGCTACTCGGAATTCCGGCAAAGCTTTCTGGACTTTCGGGCAAGGATGTAGGATTCGTCCAACAACCTCGTCGGGTCTGGGATAGAACCAAACAGCATTCAGCAAGATGAAGGGGGATGGACAAGCGGTGTTGTAAGCTCGCTATCGTTAATCATGTGCCCAGGAAACCCTTACAGTTCGTAGACCGTGATGGAGTCGAGCTCCCAAGACATGAATCTTTTCTTGTTTTCCTGACAAGCCCCTATCCACGACGCATGCGGTTCCCGATGTCCACACTCCATGGGAGGCTTGGTGGCCCGGTTGACTCCCCGCCATTATCTAAGACTTCAAGCAACAGCTGAAATAAGATGATGCATCATCTTCGGCTGAGGCTGCGGGGACTTATGCCAATCCGTTTCTTCTCTCTGCTGCAGGGCCGACGACCAGCAAGACAAGCGAGGAGTTCCAGAGACTTGAAGCCCGGAACCCTCAAGATCAAGCATTTTTCTATGGACCTATAGACTGAGAACCTTGAGAACCGCTCCCTCTGAGAGGAGCCTTGGTGATTCCTGGAACTCCTCGACGTGTCGCGGACGTATCAAGTAGCTTGCGACTTGCCTGTGTGCGTGAGGTAAAAACCGACGAGTGGGATCCCTTAGATTTCGAAGCTACTGAGGCTACTGTATTCCTGACAACACTTCGGCTTTGGGTCAGCGCGTCCCGGTCCGAAACCTCCCTGGCACATTGGCGTCCTGCTGTCAGGAACCTACTAAGGTGAAAGCTGCAAGATGCGCTGCGTGCCTGCGTGCAGGTCGCCGTCGGATGCTGCAGCAGAGTTGGCAGCCCGTTCGCTGAGCTGGGCAGGGGACCGTATGAACCACTCCGAAATCCGATGAAGCTGTCAGACAGCTTTCGGATTTAAGGATCTTCTGCACTGCAACAATGGCCTTGTAAGCTCACTATCCTTCAGTCATGAAACAACACGGCTCCGCATGAATCCCAACAACAGCCGACCATACCTCGGGAATCTCTGTGTACGTACGCTGGTCGATCGCGAGACTTAGCAGCCCGGAACTAGCTCATAATTGACAGGGCGCAGTCTGTGGGAAGATTCTGATATCTAGGCACTGCGAGGGGAATTGTCGACTCGATCCGTGAAGCCCCTATCTACGACGCATGCGGTTCCCGATGACCACACTCCCAAAGCAGCCGTCGGTCCGGTTGATTCACCGCCAATCTCGAAGACTTCAAGCTAGGAGATATATGCGTCTGGCGCTGAGGCTACGGGGACTCCAACTTGCAAATGTCCTGCGGATTGAATCAGGAGAAACCGCGGCCACTCTGTTTCTTGCCGCCTCCCTGCTTTAGCATCGATGACCCGTAGGTCAGGCGAGGAATTCCAAAGACTTGATGCCAGACTCCTCAAGATCTGAAAACACTACTATGCAACTATAGTACCCCCCGAATTAGTGATTCCTGGAACCCCTCGACGTGTCGGCAATACCACCGCGGCAAATTTCGCGGATGTGTAAAGTAGCTTGCGACATCCTGCAACTCTGCCTGACGGCCTGCCTGTACTGTAGCCCATAGCGGCCGCATGCAGGGTTCTGAAAAGGGGTGCTACATGGGTTAACGGTTAGCCAACGCTGCATCGACTCTCCTCTAGCCAACCGTCCGGCCACGCAGGGATGCCTCCTTGAAAGAACAGATCGGCGCACCATTGGCAAGTGACTTGAGGCTTCGCTGTGAGCTCTTGGAAAGACGCTCCTCGTTCAAATCAGATAGAAAGAGCACGCCACAGTCAAATGCCAAACTGGACACACGCTTTCCGTGCAAGTTGTCGGATGCTGCAGCGGGGATTGTTATGCTTCAGCACCGATCCGAAGGTCAAGCGAGGAGCTCCGGGGACTTGACGCCAGGCCTTGAAGTTGGCCCCCCAGCACTACCACTAAGGCGAAGACCTTGTGAAAGGCTGCCTGAAAGAGGTGCCTGAGTGATTCTTGGGGATGAAGTCCTCTACGGACCAACAGATATCGACAAAGCGATCGGAACCATTGCAGTTTTCAACTGCTTTGTGTTGCTTTCGCGCAGGTCGCCGTCGGATGCTGCAGCAAAGATGGCATCCCGTTCGCAGAGCTGGGCAGGGGACCGCATCAGTTGCTAGTCAGAATTCCGGTGGAAAGCTCTTCGGTTTTTTTCCCACCCGCTTCGCTGACCAGGGTCGCACTGTGCAGGGAAACTGCACTCCAAGACGTGTGTGCAAGTTCAGGGTCCAACTAAGCTCTTTTAGGTTTTGGGTTTAAGTCTTAAGGCTCGTCGTATCTGGGATAGAACCAAACGGTACATCGCCAGTGCTAAATCATGACCATGAGGGAGCCCACAAATCATGGAGCGCAGTTTTTTGGGGTTGCGAAGCTCTCAAGACATGAACTCTGCTATTTGGGCAATGCTGCGGCGCAGAATCCCTTGGTGAAAGCAGAACCCTGCTTCCCGGTGATCCTACAATCCCCGTTCTCGACGAAGGCGGTCCCCGATTTCCATCACTCCCGACCTCCCGGAGCGGCATTTAGCGCGGTTGATTCGCCAGGCTCGAGACTTCAAGCTGTGGCAGTGATGCCGCTCGCAACTGTCAGGCAAATGCCGCTCCGTTTCTTGCCGCCTCGCCGCTTTAGCGCCGACGACCCACAGGTCAAGCGAGGAGTTCCAAAGACTTGGGGGCAGGCCTCGGAAGTGGGCCCCCCAACACTACCACTGTGGATCTATGGGTCTATAAGGTGAAGACCTTGTGGAAGGCTCCCGAGCGGGGAGCCTTCGTGATTCTTGGAACCCCTGGATGCGTCAGCAAAAATCAACTGTTGGAGCAGCCACCAGAAGTCGCGGCCGTATGAACTAGGCTACAGTCGGTTGCGACTTTGCATGTCTGTACTGCAGGAATAAGTAGGACCATGTGCATGCTATCCGTTACAAGTACCCTACAAGTACCCCTGCGATTGGAGTTTGCATACGGCCGGTCTCCGGAGCTGATCATTCCAGACTCTTTCTACAAGAGGGTGGCGCGTCCTTTTCGACACACTTGCACAGCATGTCTGAAGTACCCGTGATGGGTTGATCGCATGGCGTGGTGTATTTGATCTCACAGTCATTACTCTTTTCCTCCGCTGCAGCGACACAGACATGGCCAAAGCTTTCGCAGTACCTGCGGGTATTATTTTTGGAGCTCTTCGACTAGGGCTTTAGAGGGGAATCTCGGGTCACAGTGAAGGGCCCGGATTCATCTCAGACATGAGTGAAGCCACAAACCCGAATGCAGACACCAGTCGATGCCAACGTTTAAGAGCAGATACAGCGACAAGAAGGGGGATTACTATGGAATCGCCTCGACGGACGGACGGACGGACTGGCGGACAGACGGGATGGACGGAGGACCGATCGGACCGACGGAGAAGAAAGACCTGAACGAAAGGGAGCGGAGAGGTGGAGAGAACATGACCGGACCGGACCCGACTGGACCAATGGACTCGCCACCGGACGCATCGGGCGCACGGACGGCAGACCCGGACGGACCGGTCTCTTCAAACAGGAACCCTCCTGCGAAGCATTCGGGAAAAACCACCCCGCACCTGTCGCAACGGCCACCAAACGGACCCGTCAACACAAGGGCCATGCAGTCGTTGCACGTGACACCACCGGCCACCTTAGCTGCACAGTGGGCCTGTCGTGATGGCACATGTATCGGCCAAGGTCCTACGCCACCCCTCATGCCTGCATCTGGATGCAGCAAGGCGGACCGTTTTATGGAAGAGTGATAAGCCTCCTAGATCCCTCGAGTATTGAACCCAGAAACCTTGACCCGAACGAAGCCTGGACCCTGCCGCCAAGCCGCATGGGGCCAGCGGGCTGGCTTGCGGCAGCAAGCCGCAGGCTCGCTGCTCTCAGTGCTCTCTGTGATTGTGAGTGAGAGTGAGGAGTGATCACAAGAGAAACCTCCGTTCGGTCCAATGGATATCGTGAGTTCAGAGCCGGCTGCAACGGCGGTGGCTGGGAAGGTAAAGGGCGTGCCACTGTTGAGGGCGCTCTTGGAGGTGACTAGCGTCGAGCCGCTAAACATCCACACATCGATTCCTCCGCAATGCGAACCCAGCTCCTTGACATAGCCAGCCACATTCACTGGGGGCGTCGCTTTGAACTTCACATGAAGGTATTGGTCGTCGCGGTGGTTACCCGGATGCAGAGCTAGTGAGTTGTCATCGGCTTTCCCATTACTGTTCGCTGGAGTAATGACCACACCCGTGCTTGTGCCAACGGCCGGCAAGTCCAACGCACCTTTCGCGTTCGGAGTGATGAAGCAGTTCGCTGTTCTTACGCCGTGGCTTCGTGTTGTGTACTGCATCATCTTCTCGGTTCCTTTCCCTGGAGTGTGGCTGCTCGATGCCTTGATGGTCCACCTTCCAAGGCCGCCTGGAGAGTCGTAGTCAGCCGGGTCCCCGGAGGCAAAGGTGCTCGCCACGTAGTCGCCGCGGAGACTTGCCGCCTACGGTCGGAAGTTCAGTCATGTTGAGTCTGCAGTGTCTACACGAGCTTCTCTTCCTAGGCCTGGGCAGGGCAAAAGCTACAATCATGCTTCAATCCGTTAGCTTGGCCAAGCGAATTTTCGAAGCCATTTGAGCACTCAGTAACCCCTGATGAATGCCCGAGCAGATTCCCACTGGCAACAGTATCCAAGACATTCAAGAATGGTCGAGGACTGGAACCGCGCTGCGCTGCCCTCGTGGTATTCCCTCACATGCTTGTAGCAGAGTGCTACTGTAGTATTATCTCACATCTTCAGGCATCAAAAGCATATCACCACCAGCATCTTTAACAAGGATTCGCGTGCCAAAAACATGGCGAGCGATCTTCGGAGCATCTGGCCTTGAAGCTCTTCTTCGTGCCCTGCAACAGCCGCAAACTAAGCCTACAACCGCCCTGCGAATGTTCTTTGTGGTCGCGTTTTAGGAGCAGACCCTACTTCTCCCTGTCTAAGGATAGTCCTTGTTAAACACCAGCAGCGGGTTGCTTGACACTTACCGACCGACTTGCCGCTTTACCACAACTACAAGTACGAGGTTGAAGGTCGACGTCTCGGCCTAGTTATGCACACAAATGACATTGTTTATAGGTTAAGTGGCTCTAAAGCCCGGGTCTTAAGGCCTCGGGTGCTTACAGCCTAGCTAGCCGAAGATGATCTCAAGGTCAAGCCTGGCGGCAAAAAAAGTGGCTTGGGGTCTGTCAGGGCCCTTGATGTGGAGGATGTTGATTTTGGGAAACAGCGGTGGGTTCGGGCTAGGCTTAAGCCTCAAGTTGAGGTGCCCACTGCAGTAGCGGCCTGAAGGGTTACCCAATAGTATTGTTCTGCGCTGGTTGACCCTAGGTTCAGACTGCCACAAGACTGTCCCAAAAACATCTCGATCGGGACACGGGCCAGTAAAACGGATTTCGGCTGTGCCAGCAAAAGCACAAGCGAGGAACTAACTACTATGTATATCTGTGACAACATGGCCGCAGATCCCCCCTGCAAGTTGCTGACGTTCACACTTGCTAAGCCCACACTTGGCACCTCCATGTTCGATGTTCAAAAGCTTGAAACACACCACAACTATGGAAATGCGTAAAATTTTGGTATCCCAAGTTATGCCCAGGCTGTGAAGGGACCGGGATGGTCAATCATGGCAGGATTAAACCTAGTTCATGGTGGGGATAGTATTCACAATCTGGATGTCCATTCATTCTATTCCTTGTTGAGTTCAAGTTTGCATAAACATGTAAGCCAGTTTTCTGGTCACAACCATCATCATCCGGCACCATCACAAGCCCCAGCGGACGCCAAGCCCCTCGATCCATCTGCGACAGGCCTCAAGGACTCAATCCCAGAGCACAGGACCTCAAACCGACTCTAAGCCTTGATGCAACCCGACTCCCGCTGTGGCTTGCCTGGGATGCGGTTCCCTCGATGCAGAACTTCTCTGGCTCCCCGAATTTGGCCCATCCGGAATTGGATCCAGGCCTGAGATGCTCGAGTTTGCGTTTGTAGACTTTCGTGGCTAGTGACTCGTGTAGCAGTGCCAAATCTCGGGCAGGTTGCTCGGCAGCAAGCGGTCCGGAAGCACCTGAGACGTCCTCGAAGGTCCCATCCAGAGGATATATGGCTTTGAGGCCCGTTCCATCCACGCAGGAGCCACGACTTCGCGCCAGCAGTTCCTCCATTAGTATCGCGGGGTCTGCCGCAAATGAGTGCTACTTTATTGGGGTCCTTCTGACAAGATTTCGATGACTCCAACTGCATACGATGGGGCCCTTCCATGGCGGTTATCGAAAGGCCAGGATAAAACGAAAGTTTCAAGAGACTGCTTTGTGAGCCGAAGGCTCGTCAGTGGAGAGTGCCCGGCTCCAAAAGCCAAGCTGGGAAGTCTTGATGCGGATCCTCGTCACATCGTTCACTTTTGCCCCGATGATGACGTTCCCAAACTCCTCCACCGTGGTTCCCCACCTGGCTTCTAGACTCTAGACTTTCGGGTCTTACTTGCTTACCCTTGACTCCTGGAAGCTGGCACACATGTCCTTTGTGGGCATGTTGTGGCCGTCAGCCCTACGCCAATACCTACAAATTACACCACAAGAGTGCTGAAGAGGCCACCGGTCAGAGGTTTTCACCTTCATCTTTTCCACGCCGTCGACGTAAAAGTAAAGCTTTCGCTGCTCCCTGCGGTACCTTGGGCTTAAGGCGCAGGGTCAAGCGCAAGAACTGATCTCCGATAAACTCCAAGAACCATTTCAGTGCCTGGCCATGCCCGACCCGACACGACAAAGGATGAAACGGGACCCAGCTACACGAAGGCAATGTGGCGCATGCCAGAGCCCACGAAGCGCGGGTTATGCCAGATCGCAGTTTCCAGTCTCTTTTCCCCAGGATCGTGGCCTTGGAGGCTCTGCAGGTTTAGGGCCTGGGCTTAGTGTCATTTACAGTAAACTGAAACGGAGTCATGCATTGGCCCCCACTGAGCATTCGATTTGGTCGGGCAAAAACATGGCCAAGTGGCTGCGGAAGGCCAGCAAATGACCATGCGCATTCATCCACAGTTGAAAAGCAGCTGCCCGCGGATGCTCATTGCTGCCGGTGAAGCAGGTGAAGATGTTTGGCCAATGATGCATGCCTCACATAATCATGACCCTCAGACCTAGTCGTCCCACAACCTTGTAGCACGCAAACTGCAGTCACGATGTTAAGGTTCCATTTGGTCGCAGAGCCGCATTGACGATGACGGTTTCACTCACTGTTATTGACTTTCAGAAGAGGCTGCTACGATCTTGAGGCCCTTTAAAGCGAAACCCTCAACTCTGTAAGCAAGCTAGGTTTTGTTGCCTCCCGCATCGCACAAATGAGACCCACACCGCAAACTTGGTCAGAAAGGACACTGACAAAGCTGCAAGCGATGAAATTGAGAAAGCGGATCCCTTGGCATAGTGTCGGGTCTGGTGTTGAAAGATGTTAACGGGTTAAGGAACTGACCTCCCTCTCCCTGGCCAGGCTCCTTGGCTCGGAATTTCCATCTTGATCTCCCAAGTCATGTCCCCCACGAGCAAATCCTGTCGGCTGAGCTTAACACTCTTCAATAATGGGCAAGGAGCATCGGATGCTTTCTTGGAAGTGGGTGGGGTTCCCAAGCAAGCATCTGTTTGAAGAGTTTTCGCGGCCGACGGGGCAGACAGCAGAACGAGGATCTCTCGGCAACCATGAGAGAGAGTTTGTATTGCGGCAACGACTGGCTATTCCCCTACAAAGCTGGATACTAAACGTTGATGAACATGTTCTCGCTTTTGAGTTGAGCAGACTCATATACGAGGCGAAACACTACGAAATCAACAGATACTGATTCAATGTTGAGTGAATGCTAACGCAAATAGAAGTACATACTCATGCACAATAAGTAGTAGTGGACAGTTAGTAGCAGATACTGGGACCATATGTGCACAAATACTCGGTGAGCAACATCTAAATATGAAGTCGAACACTGCGAACTGTTCAACGAATGCACTGCGAAATATTTCACGAGTACTAGTCAAAAACTAACTGCAAACTATCTACATTATCACCAGCAATAGCGGTCAATAGCAGATGCATCGCAACTACTACTCGAATATTGGATTGCATACGAGTGGTTTGCAATACGTGCGTCACATGGCATGACAGCAGACAGATCGGCAAGCATTGCAGCCGCGAATCTGCGGTGTTTTTGACTTGTGTAGTATGACGCGTATACACTGACAGCGGTACCGAATACACAATTTAGCCATATTTACAAGGCTTTCGGCTTTCATGCATAGCCACACAGGTACACACATGAGCAATTGCGTGGCCGAGGTTCGTCCTGGAGCGGGGGTTATTAGACAGACACATACACATACATCTGTGTAATGGTGTGTATCTACAGAATATATGTCAATATATGTATATATATACACACATATACATATACGTTCATAATAACCAAAAATGAAGAGATCAATGGCAACAGAGAATCCGCAGAGAAACACGCAAAGAAACAAGGACAGATGGAGAGAGGGATACTCCAACCGACTATTGCGGTTATTTCGCAAGATGTTCACAACACTGGATCGCCCTTGGTTGGCCACAGAACCATCCCCATCCAAAACAAGGACCTTCTCCAGCCCAATGCTTACTCGACGTCCTTAAAGAAGAGGGCATTCTTTGGCTGGAAGACAAGTGGGCCGGAGCCGGTCCAATAGTTGGCAGTCTGGGCGATGATTGGCCCCTTCTTCACAGCCTTAGCACATGTTCACAAGAAGCACTTGCCCACGGAGGATCAGGATTTAGGGTGTAAGGACCCGTTCTCTCCCGCATGTGTCCTGAATATGGACTTCTTGAAGTGAAGGACAGAAGGTGTTCGAGGTTTGTTTATGCCTGCAAAATTCCGGGAGTAATACTCAGGCAACGGGAGAAAACGAAGGCTAGGCTAGGCCATGTGAATCACCACACTCCTTGCTTCAATCGACTTTTCGACGCAGGGTCCTCGCAACCTGGTGGGAGGCCGACGTCCTAAATTTCCCGACGTTGCTCTTGGAAGCACTGTGAGTTTATGTTTGAATACACCATCGACAGAACCATACTGCCGCAGCAAAAGCAAAGGCAGCGTGCCTCTGCGCTGGCCTTTCAATGATTTTCAGTGCAATGATGTACAATACGTGCTGATGTGCGGGAGTACATGCAGGGTTGCCTGACACTTACCGACCGACTTGCCGCTTTACCACAACTACAAGTACGAGGTTCAAGGTCGATGTCGAGGCCTAGTTATGCACACAAAAGACATTGTTTTTAGGTTAAGTGGCTCGAAAGCCCGGGTCTTAGGGCCTCGGGTGCTTACATGACAACATGGCCCACATGGCCCACCAAGCTGCAAAGTGCCCCCAACCCTAAATCTCAAGCCCAAACCCCACAACCCTGAACCCGCAGAGAAACAAGGTTTGGGGGGGAGGCGGAGGGGTTTTGCTTTGGTTTTCCTGCAACACCTGTCATCTTCCAACTCATCGCAGGCTTTTTGCATAAAGCTTGTCTTGAAACGCCTTCTACATTTCGTACTGCGCATGCCAGAAAAAGCATCATTTCGGTGGAGTTGCTGGGGCCACCTGTTGGAAGCATGGCTGGCACACTGCTGGCAGAATAAACAACTCAATGTAACGGCTCAGCTCAGCCGAGGTGCAGGGTCTTGGAAGTGGAAGTACAGCGTCAAGCCAAAGTCTGTAGCTGGTCCTCCAATGTGCCCGTGCTGCGGCTGCGTTGCAGTGCAAAACAGACACAGCTTCTTTGGCTGCCCGAGCGAAACGCCTGTTTTTTCTCGAGGCGGTGATGAACCACTACACGGCCCTTGCTTGTTAGGGCCTTGGTTTTTCAACTCCCAGGCCTCTGGACCCGAAGGTTCAATCTGCAAAGCTGACGCCGGACCGATAGAAGAAGACAACAACATGCATCCAAAAGTTGAACAAACACAGGTGCGGTCGTATTTCGGAGCGAATAAGTGGCCGAGTGTGAGTCCGATGTGCTATTTCTGAACAGAGCTTAGATTTACAGGCTTCAGCAGGTCGGCAGGATTCTGTGCCCCAAACTTGCAACAGTGTGGCTGACACGCAGCTGCCCCCGGAAAACTTCAAGAGAATGAAGAATGAAGAAATGAAACGATCCCAGTGACCTGTGCAATGGCTGCCAGAGCCCTCGGTGCCAGTCTCATGGTGGTCCTTGGTTGGACGTCCCCCCTCGGTTGGAGCCTGATTTTTAGATCCGGTGATGCGACCATTGCCTCGCATCTGCCTGTGCCTCATGGACCTCCCATCAGCGCCAACAAACTTGTCGGCGCGTGCATCGCTGTCACACAGAAGCATCAGGCATCCTGTTTCGCAGCACTCATAGCTGCCAACATAAGAACCCTAAGGAGAGCTTGCTCCAATCTCTGCATCTCCACCTCGCAGCCTTTGATCAGGCTCTGGAAGGATTTGGAAAAACAACTCTCAGTTTTTGAGACCAGTGGGGCAGCCGCGAAGCTCTGCTCAGGAATCGGCAAAGCTTTTAGTTGTGCCTTTTCTGGCAAGTTGACTTGTTCCGCGACTTTTCGTCTACCTGGGAAGACCACTGCGGGATGACATGAGCCTCGCACGTTTTATGAACGGCATGCGCTTTGAAAGCTTGTCTAAACTTGGGCTTTTCCCTGCCAAGGAGCAGACAGCTTGCCCACGCCCCCCGTGATCCTGCAATTGCCTGGTAGCATCCGCTCATGCCACATGAAGCGTCGGGTATCCAAACCGAGCACTGCTCCCGGCAAGCTTTCTATTCTTGTATCAACATATCTGCAAATCTACGAGCATGAATCTAGACTTGGTGAATGTGCAACTATCTGTGATGACGTGTTTAGCACCCTTCGGCAGGTTAGGGCTTCTTGTACATCGTCGAGGCTCCGTAACGCTCATCGCACCCGCCGCCACACATAGCGTGGCCCATGCTCAAGGTCGAGTGGCAGCCCTGAGATCTGTGCGAGGGCCGGGACACTTACGCGTCTATGCAGACTTGTCTATGTGTTGTAGATACACATGTGCATCTGCAGGTGGACACCATGCTGCTTGACAGACCACAGAAAAGCACTGGGTGTTGCAGTTAAACTCCCTGTATGACTTACGGGCAGTTGTAGTGCTTGTATGACTCGCGGAGAAACCAGTACGAACGTCGAAGTAGCACGAACACTACCGAGTGCCATTCTGATATAACGTTGAGTGTGCTAGCTAGCCCCGTGATGAGGTTGGTCACGCTGATGGCAGCACAAACTGCAAAAACATATTCAGCAGCGTCTCGCATCCATCGTTATCCAGCATGAAGGAGCGGATTCCGTCCTGATCGCGGTACCTCCGTGCGTTTTTAGAAACAAATTGCCTTCAATCCGTCATCGCCTGTCCGTAGGTCCTGTTGCGGCACCTGAAAATGTAGAAACGACTGAAGAAACGGTCTAAACGCTTGCTGCCAGGTCTCATCGCGTGATTTTGATTCGAGCCGGTGCTTGCCTACCCCAAGTCCGATGTTCGGAGTCAGGCTCTCTGCATCACAATACAATGGTAGAGCAGCACGCAGCAAAGAGAAAAGAATGGAATGGGATTAAACGGAGTTCATATGAAACACACTTCATGCTCTCACATGGCTTCCAAGTTTCCAAACAAGGTAGGCTGTTCACATTTCTTTTTACCCGGTATGCCAACGTGCGGGACTTACTCGCACCCGAAAGTGGAATCGAAAGTGTTTCCGTTACTGTTGACGTTATTGTTCTTGTTCTCCTCAATTTTTGTGATGGTGTGTGCTAGGCCCGGGTAGTGTTTCGGGTTTTGCACGCTGTCAACGGTAAGCCTTCTAGACCGTGTTCTCGTGGTGCCCTTTTTGTGGCCGGCTGCGGGTGACAGACCCTTCCATAACAGCAACAGGATCCAGATGCAAGCCGCAAAGAGCGGAAAAGCCCAAGGTGCTTCAGACCTCCCTGCCCATGGCCTTGCCACCGTGCACTTCGGGGTTCCAGTTCGCACCCGACGCCGTCCTGGTCGTCACCCCGTTCCTCAGCAACGTCCAGATACTTTTGAACACCAATGGGTTTAAAGTTTAGGGTTTCACCGATACTTCTTGCAGATTCAACCCTTGTGGCAAATCCTCGTAGGGATGCACCCCTGCACGCTGAGCCCAACCAGTTAATCTACCTGTCTTAGCCAACCATTTCCGGAACCCAGCTAGCACAGCATCTCAACTCGTTCATCCATGCTACTCTGTCCTCCATCTTGCCTGTTGCTTGACCCCCTAGCCCCGGTCTTCCTACGACCAAGTGTTGCGCAGTAGATGCCATCATTCTTTTTACTATTATGTTGCGACTAGTTACCCAGTCCGAACTTCTAAACAAACAGGCGCAATGCAAGCCAAAGTGCGCCATTGCCTCGAACGCCGCGTGAGCGACCTTGTTCGATTCGTCGAAGATCCACTCGAACTCGTTGCCGACGCTGTCCTGCTGCGATTCTACGCAGGCGTCTGCCAGCCCATTTGGAAAACTGATCTTATGTGAGCGATCGTTGCCGCTCCAACAATGGCAGCCGCGATTTTTTTCCCCACCCCGCCGCGCACTTAAATTCTAGCACGGTTGTTCATAACCAGAAGTAGATTCACAAGGTTTAAAAAGTTGATCTGGCGGATTGCCACGCTTTCCGGCGTAAGGTCGCTCAATTCTTCGGCAGTCTTCTTGTTTCGTGCAGGCGCCATGTCGCTCCAATCCGCGGCTCAATAGTCAACCCTAACCGTGTTGCGCCTCCCCTTCGACTGGAGCATGCAGCATACATCTGTTCGCTCGAGCTACGGTACTTCGAAATGGCTCCGAACGTCTTTTCAAAAGGAGCCGTTCAAATCACGTACTGTGTGTTGTGGTCTCTGTACCTCTATGCACTAATGCGCACCAAGACTCAATTGCCAGCAGCCGCGTACCTGCTTCTTTGGCCTGGCTCGCTTTGCTGTCAGGCGCAAACATCATGAGCAGTGGGGCTATGCAGGTTCAGGTCTGTTTAGGGCTGGCAGGCCAGATAATGCAGGAGGTTGCGCTGTCCGGTTCGGGCTTTCTGTATGACGTGCACTCTCGAAAGGGAACCCCAACATTGCCAAGCCTGTGATGGCAGTTTCTGGAAACACACAGGGTCCCATGTGTTGCACGCTCCGAAGCTGTCGCCGAAGACGTCCGTCTTTCCTGCCAGTCAACGGGAGCCAAGCCCTCCTAACGTCCCTTCGCTCACTGTAGACCAGCTGAGCCCTCCCAAACGGTTGCCCCCATTCCATGCTCTGCTACTCTGGTGCCATCCGGGCTCCGTGAGGCCAGGAGGAGCCCTTTGTGAACCACCAGAACTTGTTGTAGACCCTCTCGGCAAGCTCTATGGATCCGTAGGTCGCGAGGTCCGGCGCCTCAGCCTTAGTTCCGCTTAATTCATGGGGCCCGCGTAAGTCAGTGGAAAGCACTGTCGAGCGTCCTTTCGACTTTCTGGACAGAACGCCATTATCATTGGAAGCGTGCGCAGCTTGCGAGGAAAGTCTCCCGCGCTTCTTTTCGCGGGGGTAGGCAAATCTAGGCCATTAGATGGATGGAGGTGCCGAAGCAACAAGCAACAAATCGCGCTTAGCTGGATTGCGAGGATGCGACAAGCACAAGAGGCATGGCGAGAAACCAACTGGTCTTGGGGTCAAGTGCAAGCATTCAAGCCGATTGAAATATTTTTTCCCTCCTACCTAGCAAGGACTTTGAAATATTTGAGTTTGGGCGGTTTGGGTTTCGGACTGCTGCTGACGCCCAGAAACATATGAGGAGCCAACTCTAAACTCTGCACTCAACCCTTTGGAGCATCCATGGGCTGTCGGCCCAGTAACCTCGGTGACAACATGTTGCACCTTAGGTGAACATAACAGACTGTCAACTGCACAGCTCCTGCACAGCAGTACCTACGGATCGGGCTTAGCACCCCCCCCTTTATGCAGTGCTGTAGCACTTGCAGAAACTCTAACCCGCCTATCCTGGCTCAAGCCCTGCTCTCAATACTACAACTTGTGCTTTCGCATACTCCTCAGTGTCGCCATGCTCCTTGTGCTTGTTCGGTAGGTGCATGGAACCGTGGGGTTTGTTGATGTGCTGTGTAGCTTGAGACTGCACCCAATGTCCCTTGCGCGCGGTGCATGTCTGTCTGGTGCTGCTGGTTGTTTTGCTGCGGCTGCTGATCGTAGATCTTGTCGATCTTCGCTTTGTGCTCTTAGATTTATCGCTCTCTGGTTTCCTTCCAATCCACACCTCGTGCTTTTTCCGCTGCGACTAGTCCCAAATGCTTTGTCAATGCTTTCGCTGGGTTCTTTGTTCCCAGGGCTTTTGTCTACCGGCACTAATTTTCGCTTCACCTTTTGTTCAAATTCCATTTCGTATTGTTCCAAATGCAAATCACTTCGACCGCTGGAGTGCTGCACTCGAATCGGTCCGCATCTTCGGGATCAAGGCTCCCAACTGCAAGGTCATGGGCATAAAGGCTCTGCAAAAACTTCAGATGTTGTGCACCTCGCACCATTACTCGATACTCGGCTTCTTCTGGGCTCGTCGCTGGCACCCCTGGCTGTGTTTGCACACACGAGTCAATCACAGCTCCACACCGGCTGTAAACTTCTCCTCCTGTGCTTCTCCTCGTCTCTGGACATCCTGCCCAATCTATATCCACTAAATCATTCAATTTCCACTCTCCTGGTGGATCCCTGTTTGGACTTACTTGCGCCACACTTACCAAGGTCTGTATCCCTTTGAGATATCGCGACTGCAAATCCGTGCTTCTTCAGGTTCCCCGTCACGATCTCTGCCAGCATATCCCTGCAGGCACATCCTGCATGTCGTCTTCCGTACAGGTTCGCACCGAGTTGCCACATGCCCTCCTTGAAGTCACACCCTAGAATCCCTAGGCCCTAGAATTCTTTCCGCGCCTCTTCTGGCTGGTCTAGCAGCCACATCCAGAATGCTTCCTCGTTGACTCCTCATAGTCAGATGGATGCATGTACACTGGCTGACCATGGATCGCACCCATGGTCGTGTAAAGGGGCGTCAGTTTTGTACTCTGATGGTACACGGGGACAAGCTTTCTGTAGCTTCGAGGCTTCCCTTGGCTCTGGGATCGGCTTTGCGTTGCGAGGAGGTTCAGGTGTGCTTTTGCCCAGACCTTTCTTACCCTTCTGCCCTTTTCGGGTTGCTCTCTCCTTCGTGCCCTTCTTGCTAAGGCCTCTTTGCCTCACTGACCTGAGGTTGGCCCTCTTGCTGAGGAACCACCCCCGGGCGTGCATTCCACACGCACACAGGTGAAATCCCAATTTGTTCCCCATTCCGACGTTGGGGTTATTCCGTTATTCCTTTTCTCACACGAACTGGCCCCTGTCAGCAGGCGAGCTCCGCTACCATGTGAAACCTCTACATTGGAACCTGTTGAGCATCCATGGGCCGTCGGCACAATAACCTCGGTCTAAACATGTTGCACCTTAGGTGAACATAACAGTCATAACTTCATAACAGACTGTCAAATGCACCGCTCCTGTACAGCAGTACCTGCGGGTATACGCAGGGTCATGGTGAACTTGTACAAAGTGGCCACAGTGAGAACTTTGAAATCCCTTCAGAGTCTGCAAATTTGCAAGGCGTTTGTCCGCGCAGCAGACCCCCTCGTTACCCTTACAACACACTTGTCGGGCCTGCCCTCGCGCAGTCTCCGTATCTCACGCTTTCCAGTTTCCCGGAACCACATCAGCTTTGATTTCGATGTGCCCGAGGAACCCGGGTCCCACTCGCACGGTGGTTTAGCTTGACTTCGCACTTTTCAGAAACAGCACGGCTTTGCCATCGAAAGCACAAGAGAAAAACTCTTGTGGGCAATACATGCGCAGCACATGCGGCTAAACGCAAGGACGTCTCCTATGTGTCATGTTCAACACATGCCCACACTACAAAACTAGAACGCGTTCTGGTTGGCTTAAGCCTTTGTGCAGGCCAATGCACTGAGACGGCGGCCGACCGTCGCGCGACCTTGAAAGGATGCGATCAGCACAACAGAAGAAAACCAACTACACCAACTGGTCTTGGAGTCTGCCGGGCCATTTGAAGTGTCTGAGTTAGGGCAGTTTGGGGTTTCGGACTGCTTCTGACGACGCCCTCCTGAAGCATATGCGGAGCCAAGGCGCCGCATTGCTGCTGCCTTTGCCCCCATGTATGCACTGTCTGCACAACTTGGAGGTGTCGTAGAGATCGTTCGAAAATCCCCCCTGCACATGAAGCTCTTCTCTCAAACGCATATCTTCGAGTCGAGTGCTTCATGACACATAGCTCCAACATGCTCGAAGGTCAAGGCCCGCGAGTAAGATTGCTGATGGTCTAGAGTGACTAGAGGAAGGGACCTGTCCATCCTTCGTATGCATCTGCTGCATCAAATGCTCTAATTTGGATGCCAAATCCTGTTGTTCACATCTGCGCGACATACCGCCTTCGTGTTGACGAAACCCCAATTCTTCCCCAGAGAGTCCGCGAAGTCCTGGCTGCGCGGCGAAACCAAGCGGGTGCGAACAACGACAGCAGGGTCCCTGGAGTCCTGGCTGAAATCGTATCTGGCGACCAATCTGGACAAGTCGGCCTGCCAGGAGATAGCCGCTACAAGGAAGCAACTTGCGGGTCCCCCCCCTGTTGAGGCCTTAGATGAGGTACGGTCAATGCTGCTTGCATACCCAAGAGACATCATTCGGGCGCTAGGGTAAGAACTCAGAGCAACCCTGGCGTAGAATCCATAGTGCACTATGTTGTCCTTTGCATTGACATCTTTGACGGTAGCTTGCGCAGGACTGAGGGGTGGCCCGCAGGCATTTTTCCGTACGTGGCTATTACGACCTTTTGTCCATTCCAATCCTCCTGCGGGGTGGGTCCCTTGACCAGCCTGGAAACACGTCTCCAGAGCATCCGGACCAGTCTCCTCTTTTTGCAGGGCTCTTGTCCAGAACAGCAGGCGACCGAAGTGAGCCTGGCTTCTGGATGTGGATTTGTGGTTTGTTAGGATGTGGCCCTCAAGAAAGGTTCGGTAATCGTCACCGAGAAGCTTTCTGTCTCCAACGGCCGTCACGCTTATTGCCGGTGCCCACATAAAAGTCCGAGTTGAATTCAGTGTCACCTTTTCAGAACCGTAAGAAGGTCAAGGCCTACAGGTCAATGGCACCAGGCCTAAAGGCTGGCAACATCGGAAACAAAGCGTGCTTGGGGGGAGCTCTTCTTACACACTTGAAACGCCTGCCCCTTGCATGTTGATGGACAGGCAGTCCCCGAAGTAGTTTCTGCCGTCGATGTACCTGATGCGATCTTGCGCTCGCATCAGCCTATCGAAACGGCAGTATTAACACAAATCAATAGTAATAACAATAGTAGCAGCAGTAGTAGTAGTCGTCGTCGAGTAGCAACACTTATCATACGAATGTTGACAATTGTAGTGGCAGTAGCAGCAGTAGCAGTAGTAGTAGTAGCAGCAGGAGTAGTAGTAGTAGTAGTAGTAGTAGTAGTAGTAGTAGTCGTGGTGGTGGTGGTGGTGGTGGTAGTGGTAGTGGTAGTGGTAGTGGTAGTGGTAGTCGTAGTAGTAGTAGTAGTAGTAGTAGTAGTAGTAGGAGTAGTCGTAGCAGCAGCAGCAGCAGTATGAGAAATGACAGTAGCAGCCGTATCAAAACCTTGCAACAAGCAGCAAAACAACCTTCCAGAACCTTTGATGTTGCTGCCAAAAACATTCTAGGTGCATGCAGGCTTTTCCTTTGCTTCGCTTGATGACGACTGCGAGGTGATGCCATTTGCCATCACACACGGCGTCCTTCGACCTGCGGCACTCTTGAGCAGAAACACTGTATCTTTGCGTGGGGGCTGCTGAGAATTGCTGGGGTTTGGTTGACAAAAAAGTTGCCAAGGCCGCCCAGTCACGGGTTGTGGCTCCCAAACTGCTTCCAATGCCCGGGACCCGCGACTTTAAGATTCAGCTCGCACCAGTGTGAGCGCACGGTGACTTGAAAGCTGTTTTGTGTAGGAGCTTCTTTCCTCTCGGCCGTGCCCATGAGCACTGCATGGTCAAGGTTAGGCTTTTCGTCGAACTTGAACATGATCTCCTTACCGCGTACTTGTGCTGCACACGCAGGTCACAACTATTTCGGCGGCAGCTCTGAATGCCTGCAGACGATCACATGTGCAGGCAGGCATCCGCTGAGATCTCATCGGCTGACAGGAAGGGGCGATAGGCCGATGAGTTCCCACCTGCTCCAACGACGGGTCTGTACAAATCCGCTTTTCCAGGACTGCTTGCATGCTAGCGGTTATGGGCTATGGACACCCGGGCGGTGTCGAACGCAAGGGCTGTAGGTTCACAGACAAGACAAAACAGAGATTCTGCACAGCTGTGCCAATGCACCCAGATGGTCAATCTAGAGCTTCCTCCCATACCAAAGAGCTTGTGAAATTTCCTGCAGTTGAGTCGTGATGAGCAACATGAGCTCCCAGAACCCCGAAACCTCCTACACCTGGAAGCCCCATAAGCTTATGAAACTTTTCCCTGTAGTTAAGTTTAATAATGATCTCGCTCTGAAGCCTGAACCCTAAACAACACCCTGTAACATCGCTGAAGACACTCCCAAAAAGCCCCTCACACACCGGCCTTGGAGCTTCAGATAGCCCGCTGTGCGCGACTCCCAAGAATGCGTGGGAGTGGAGATGCAGACAAGGCCCTAAGCTGCCGTAAAGTGAAGAGCATCAATCACACATGGCAAACAACAAAAATAAGACCATCTCATGCATGCGAACAACCAATATACAGTACGAAGAAATACATAGGAGTACTGATAAGTATACACGCAAACGAATAAGTACCAAGAAACAGTACTACATACCATTAAGATATATAACACATTTCAATTCTTATACGTACCACGGAATTCCAATAAATGCTTACTGAGCCATACTAACACATGCTGAGAAATACTGGTAGGTACTTATAGATGAATACTCATAGATGTAAACGCATACTAGCTATGAAGAATGGGGACTAACAGCAAATAGCAAGCAAGCATGAATAACAAGTAAACGCAATAGTACGTACCACAAAATAAAAAATGAACATACAATAATGCAGCATAATAGACAACAGTGAGTAAATAACACCACACAAGCAGACAAAAGAAAAGACACTAGTACATAAGAGTTTGGGAGAATAGCCAATAACCAGCAATCAGCAACAAACAATCATGACTTGCACTCACTGCTCACTCTTCGTTTTCCTGCCAGATGCACACATCGTTGAGTGCAGATTGTTACAAAGCTCATGCGTCTGCACGGCATATGGGTGAGATGAGCCTTCAGCTCACACGGGGCACCACTTCAGATGCATCCGATTTGAATCCCATCCCCCCGGGTGGAGGCGGGGTCAGGGAGGACCTTGAAAAGAACTTGAGAGGACAACAGACGGCAGGACTTTACTCCCAACGTCCGTGCAGTCAACACGCTACAAGTAGCAAGCATGACTTGCACTCACTGCTCACTCTTCGTTTTCCTGCCAGATGCACACATCGTTGAGTGCAGATTGTTACAAAGCTCATGCGTCTGCACGGCATATGGGTGAGATGAGCCTTCAGCTCACACGGGGCACCACTTCAGATGCATCCGATTTGAATCCCATCCCCTTAACCACGCAGTAACGTGCTCTGTCCAGTTCCGCAGAAGAATATGAACGATTGTAGTGGCAAGGTAAAACAGCGAACATTGCTGGCTTTTTCCAGGAGCGCCAAAAGCACGGAAAACCAAGTTCAAGAAGGAGATGTTTGACGCGGAGCCGTTGCTGTAAAGGCGGCACATCTCGTAAACAAAAGACTCGAACCAGGATAATCAATAACAGAAAGGAACTGGGCGTCTAATCTCTACGAGTCGCCGTCATCCCTTGATGGACCGCGCCGTAGTCGCACCACGGAACACCTTCTCGATGTTCAGCTCGCTCCACTGACAGAAACTTTTGCTGTTGCTTGACAACTTTGCAAGAAGCTGCTGCACTCTTCCGATCTTGGCATATCGGCGGACACTCTGGTCCGCTTTCCATCTTCCTCGTATTTTCACCCCATTGAAGTCGCGAGTGCCCGCGCTGAGGTCTTCGGTAGCACCGCCATGGCGAAGCTGGTAAGGGTGAAGATTCGACACTCCAAGCTCGGCACCTGCCTGCTGGAACTTCTTGCGGAAGTCCTCCATCGTGAAATCGAAGATTTGCGCATCCTTCTGTGACAGGCGCGCGGCCTTCGCAAGGAGAAAATCGCCCACCCACTGCATTTTGGGTATGTCGAAGGGAAGGCTGTTGTCGAAGACCCCCACTTTGTCCGGACGAAGGCCCTCGGCGTCCCTGATGACCACGTTGATCCAGGCGAACTGGTTGCCGGCCATGACCACCGGTGCGACCACATGCCGCTTGCAAAGGTCGATTGCCTCTCCGGGACGAAGATAAAGATGGAAAGCCACCAGAACCATGAGTGCCATAGCCGGCAACCCCGCGGCGAACAGCTGCATGGCAATTCCCATCGCCAAGAGCCGTGGCAACGGCAACCGGCTCGTGGCAGGATTCAGTTTCCTCCATCCCCTGAGGGCGCGCCGACTTCTGACCAGGAGCCCTTTGTGCGCGATGTTGTCGAACTCGACCGCCGCCAGGGTTTTCTCGCCCTCGTGCGCCCCGCGCCCTTCCATGAACATCATGTCCATGTAATCGGCGAGCCAGCGGTCCACTTCGAGAGAGCTCATGTCTTCCGCGCCGCCGCTCTCCCTGCAGAAGGCCTTGAACCTGCCGAGGTACTGGTAGTATTGTCCCAAACTGTCCGTGGAGATGCTCCTCTGCTCTAGCTTGGTTAATTTGCCACTCCGCGCCAACTTGCCCGGTGGGATGCCGTCGTCGTTGAGCCCTTCCACCACTCTCTGATGCAGCGTCCGCCGGGGCTTTATCCGCGATGGCTCCGCCTCGCTTTTCCTCTCTAGGATTCTCTTTTGCCCTTTGGCCTTTTGCTTCCTGCAAGTGGCTGCCGAAGCTGATTGCGCCGTCAATGACCTCACTTCTCTTGCCTTCTTGGGTGCACCCGACGTCTGTATGACTTTGCACCACTTCTTTCTTTTTGATGGTTCTGAAAGATGACTTTTCGAAAGGACCCGGAGCGATCTGTCCACGACTGGGCCCATCAGAGGGATTAACTTCGGACGGGATCCATCGGGGGTGCAGCGCAATGTGCGCTGCTAGTAGTATCGAGCCGACTTGTTGTAGGCAGCGAAGAAGATCAAAACTGTGTGCCCGGCCCTTTTGCAGTGCAAAACACAATGCAAGGTTATCGATGAGAAAGACGTGTCGCCTCCCCCGGCGATTGCTCGACCGTGAAAGCCTTCTCAGAGCCAGCACAACACAACGAGCCTCCTTCAGCGTAATATGTTCATGATCATGCCTCCACCGTCCCATCATCCTCGTTGCCCATCGCGATGGACGAGTGAAATCGCGATCGACCTCCGGAAAATCGTCATTTCTTACATAAGCTTCAGAGTCTTCAAGCTCTGACGCACCTGACCAAGCTGTCGTCACGTCGGTGAAGACGTCTCGCCCCAGTGCCCGTCGCCTTGGGGCCCATTGGTCAGGCGGCAGCCGCTTAAACCTCCATCTCTCATTCCACTCCCCCAAGGTTCGCGCTGAAGATCCGCCGACAACGGATTCGCACACCCCATAACCTTCAGGAGATGCATCGGTTGCTGTAATGATGTCCGCAAAGGGCATACGCATATCCGCTACGAGCAGTGGTGCGATTCCAATGAACATCTCAACCTCTGCGCGCTCCAGCTTGCTGAGAAACCTGGGAGCCCCACCACGCTCAATGAAGTCATATAACCTGCGGAATACACACATACCAGCTCGATTTATGACGCATAAAGTCATAGCATGGCCCAACATTCGTTGTACCATGTCAACGGAGACCTTAGCCCGCAGCATGTACTCGAAGGCCGATATGATCCTCCACGTCCGTTTGGATGATGCACGAACCTGGCCACGCACACCATCAATGACCCCACCCAGAGTGTCCATGCAAGTTGAAGCAGGAGCCTCCTCATGTAAAGAAAACCCCATTTCGCGCAAGTCATCACAGACTCGATCGCAACCTCGCTGGCATTCAACCTTGTCATGACTGAGGGTGTGAACATTGTCGCAGTATGGCATGGCAATCACCTCACCTGGACGAAGCCGTGGAGGAAGGTGACCCTCGATCACCAACGCATCCCTGCCGACGCGAAGTGCACTCATAGTAGCTTGCTCATGTAGCGTCTGTATGAGGTAAAAGGACCAATTGAAACCCATGGGGAGAACCTTGATGCAAGGAATGATTCTGGAAAAACCTTCGAAAGAAAACTTTCCGCCGCTGACTTGAATTGCCTCGTGCAGTGTGAGGTCCCGCTTCAAGCAGAAAAAGTCAGCCATGCCTGGAGGACAGTCAACGGCGTAAAAGCAGTCCTTAATATCAGCCCCTGCAATATATAGCTCCTGATCCGGCTCTAAAAGAACCTGGCTGAGTGACGAGAGGCTACCCAACTCGGTCAAAGGCGGCGCCTTGAACTGAAGATTTGTCTGACGACAATCCAGCACCAGCCTCTGACGCTCATGAACGACACCATTGATGAGCTTGGGCTTCTTGGCTACCGTGAAAGCTCCAACGCGCCCTCGACAAGTGCTTGTAAAGCCTAAAACCCCAGCCTCAAACAGCCGTTGCACAAACTTCAGGTAGCCAGATCTGCTTTGCAAAAGACGGTCATTGTAAGGAGGCACCACGCCAGCCTCGCCCTCCTTGAGCATCCAAGAATCAGCATCTTCGAGCATATAGTCCCCAAAACGGAGCACCATGTTCTTCACATGCCCCTCAAGGTGATCAGCCAAAGACACCCCAGCCACCCCCCCGCTCGGCAAGGAGAGCTTCCGAAGGTCCATGTTGACCACCGCACCCACGCCAGGCTCCGGTTCACTGTATGACGAGCTGGCGACGCGGAGCGCACTCAAGGCTCCCGCGCAACATGCATCATCTGGTGGAGGACCCAGCAGCTTAACACACCTGGTGATGTACTTCAGTGCGTCCTGCTGAACGAGGGGAAGTGCCGATACGTTTGCAGCGACATTGTCTTTACCTCCATTGCCCCCACCAAACCACATCAAATTCAAAGCTCTGACTGCCATGTTGATGCGCTGATTTTCAGCGCCATGAACCTGAATACGACGACGAACGGCCCTGGAAAGCCCACTCTTTACAACACCATCCACGGGAACGCAAGGCAAAGGAAAAAGATCACGACGTCTACCACTGTAGTCCGCAGGCTCGTGATAAATCCTTGTACCCTTGCTCCCCAGGCCGCTCGTCACCATGTCGCGGATGAGAAAGAGCCGGGGGCGACAGAACCCCCAAAAGTGCAGCCCTTGAAAATCTACGAGGCCACCGACTGCAAGTGACCCCGAGTAGCCACGCCTCAACTGGACTCCGCCGCCTGAGACCCCTTCGGTCCCTTAGGCGGCTTGCCCTTCGCTTTCCCTTTAGCCTCCTCGAGCTTTCGCCTCTCCTTCATGATCTGAGACTCGGCCTGCATCTTCTTCGCAACATGCTCCGTTAGCGCCGGTACCACGATAGCGCCCCCCGGCTTGAACTGGTTTCCGAGCCAATGGTCAGCACCATCATAATTCGGGGCTGCAGGATTATATGCATGCGCCTCCGCGATGAGCTGCTTGCGTCGCACCAGCAGTTCAAAACATGCCAGATTTGGAACAGCCAAACAATCGTAGGTTATGGCAGTATCAAGTATATGCGACAAGGTTTCGTCTTCATAGACTGCTCTGGAACCTTCGGGAATGCGGCTTTGCTGCTTCCAAGCAAGGTGCTGGCCATACGAAGATTCAGCTACGGACTTGATTGCTTGCAAGTAAGGCAGACATGTCCGGGGCTCGTAAGGGAAGCCTTCCATCTCCGCGACAGTGAACTCGTCCACCGTATCCTTGAACCCCCGTCTGCGCTCACCATTCGCTGTGAACCTCACAGCCATTGTTCTAATATCGTCCGCTACCGATCGATCTTCTCCATCAACAGCCTCGCCGGCTCGGTAGATTTGAACCCGCTCCTCGCAGAAAGCCGCAATTTCATCCGCACCGATCTGCTTTACCAGGCATGTTCTACCACCTCCTCCGTCCAAATCAACCTGCAAGAGCCCGTAATCCCCGAGCATCGGGTGACCAGGAGGCGGGGTCACAATCTCTCCAATCTTACGCGGACCGCACGGCTCGGCCAGGACCCAGATTCGCGCTGCCACAACGCCCTGCGCCCCTGCCAAAGCAGGCCCCGGTACTGGAGCTGCCGCCGCACCGGCTGCCACGCCCGCGCCTGCTGGTGCCGGGGCGGGCGCGCCTAAAGCGATCCCTCGCCGAAGTCGTTCAGCATCAGCCTCGGCCCTGCCGGCTCTCATATGCATGGCGTAATCCCTTGCCGTCATTGGGGCAAAACCATATATGTTGGCCATGCGTATGGCCCTTGGCAGCCCACCTCCCGGGCCTCCCACATGGAAGGCAGCAAGGTCAGGATTGGATGCGTCCAACACCTCCGTGTACACGTCCAGATCAGGCGTGAGGATCACATATTCGAAGGAAGCTACATTGACTTCCGCAAGAACCAACCGGGAATGAATTACTTGGGGCACCTCACCGTAATCTAGGAAGACCACGTCGCCCACGTTTATAGCCATTATCCCAGTATCTGCAAAGGTTGCGCTGGATTGTAAACTCCTCGGCTCTTACCTTTCAAATGAATCGCCACTTCTCTCTCCTCCCCGCGACGAACCACAGTCAATTTCACAGCCAGAGCAAACCCTGCTGCCCCAAAAGCGAGCACAGACAATAGAATCACTCCAGCAATGACCCAAATACCAAAGTTCGAAGACTCGGGAAGACGTTGCGAACTGCAGTGGCAATCACAAAAGCACTTTGGGGCCTCTTGTTTATCAGGGAACAATCCACGAGCAGCCCAGCCCAATGCCGACCCACCAAAGAAGAGACCCAGGGACACCGGATCCATGGGGCGACTACCTCACCTTGAAAAGAACTTGAGAGGACAACAGACGGCAGGACTTTACTCCCAACGTCCGTGCAGTCAACACGCTACAAGTAGCAAGCATAACAGATAGTTCTGGATACAATAACTATTCGCAAATACCTAATTATGAAGAAGAAAAACCAAGAAGAGCTAAGAACAAATAAGAACAACAGCCTTGACCCCAAAACAACAAACAAGCAACAATAAGTAGCACTACATAATGGTTATCAAGACGAAACAACCAAAAGACGCATGATCAACACTACTAAATAATTAGGGAATACTACCAACATACATACAAATAAAAAACCACACGAACTCCAACATTGATACTGCCCTGAGTCGCCGTCGAAGCCTTCACGGGCCATGAAAGAGTCTACACATCCTGCTGTCTTCTACTTCGGAAAACAATACCTAGTCCCAGAAGCGATTTCCCTCAGAATTTTATCTGTCGGGCGGCTCTGGGCGTTGTACCAGTATGCCCCAGCTCTATCGAAGGCCCTACTGAATAGGCCCTGTTGTACAACCTTCGAGAGCTCAGTTGAATCCCAGCGGCAGCTCCGTTCAGGTAGTAGAGCGTGAGGCCATGGTCCACCCCAACAGAGCACCTTGCCAGGAGGTCAACATGCCCTACATGCGTGTTCAAGGAAGCTTTGGGGTCAGCCCACAGCTGGAGCCAACGTTCGGAACAAAGGGTGGCCGAGGCCTCAACTCGCTCCGAGCCGCAATTTGAACCCCTTTGTTTCAAAGCTCAGCATCTTCTAAAACTCAACACACTTGCCACATGACGACTTGATCCGATGGCAATAATGGAATTATTCACTCCCAGATTCCCAGGCTGCACCTGGCGCTCTCCTTAGACTCTCAAGGATGCGGAACCACCTCTGCAGCATGTTTTCCAGCTATGCGGCCCTGCAACATCTTGACGACCAATCCGAGCCATCAGGCAGGCTTGCGGTTTTGTCATCAACTGCTGCTCGAAACTGGGAAGATAACATGCACCTTTGGAGACCTGTTGGACACTCCATTGCTCACATCTTGAATCCCATGTCTCCAGAACAGCTTGGGATCCTTTTCTTGATGTCCATGTGGCCGTACAAGCACCGGGCAGGAGGCAGGCTGGCGTTGAAGCTCTCCAGCTCGCTTCACCAGGATTGCATGGAGACTTCCCCGATTTCTGCCACACTCCAAAATCTTCAAGATGGACAGATGGGAGTTTTGTGCTGTAGCAGGATCCTTGTGTTTGTTCTGGTGCTGTTGGGAGTTTCCTCCGCACAAAGGAGGCTCGGGGGCTGAGCAGGGGCTGAGGTGCGTCCATGCGCCGCTTTCATCTCGGAAATCTGGTTGGGAGAGGCGAAAAAAGCAAGTGCCGACACAGGTCAGATTGCCAAAGGACAGCTCAAGGAAGACCCCAAGCATCGTGCAGAATCAAGACTCCCACCGGCTAAGTTGCAACTGTGGCTCTTTTGCCGGCCCCATGTACCTGAGCTTTGAACACCCCAAGCTGCGTCGAAGCTGTTTCGAGCTTCGGCAACTTGATTCACCGCTTTTTCGCTAGGTCTCAATGATTTCTGCCAGGTTGTCAGTCTTGTGCAGGCTGTTGTCGTGACTCGCCCCCCAGCCACACGCAAACCATTGCGGCAAGTTAAGACAGATTCCTCAATGTGTACTGATCAGGGTCGACAGATAGAAATCTTACTTCTTCTTGGGACCGTGTTTCCCACTTTAACAGATAGAACTTTCGGGCGAACAGCCAGTGTCGCCGGAATAACCTGCTCCCATGCAAGAAAAGCGCAAGGTGGATTTGCAGCCGCTGCCATCATGGTCCAGCAGGAGGGACTTCGTCTCACCTTGCTGGTGATACCTGGGCACAACTGAGAATTGACAATTTAGCAGGTGGGCTGCAACGATTCCAGAAAGATTTGCTAACACTGCCGCCATTATCGGAAGTCTGGCTCTCTACTGGCAATCACAAGCAAAGCTCAGGCGTAAGATCCCTACCTTGTCAAGGCTAAGGGCTCCGTTCAGGGCGACTGATATGACATTTTCAATAAAGGTGCCGTCACCCCAATTCAAAGAGATGTCCAAGTTGCATGAAGTGTTGCTGCTTCTCTTTCGTCGCGTTGCCCGTCAGCGCCTGCGGAAGTGAGCTTGCCAAGCTAGGTTAAAGTGTTGCAGCTTCAACCCGCAGATGCCCAGATGCGGTTCTTTATGCAGAAACTGCATGTGGTGCACCAAGGCTGATCTCGTGGAACGGTGGAGCCTGGAAGAATGTGCTCCACCGAACCTATTCAATCGGCATGCCGCTGAGTAGCCGTGAAACGGCTTGCAACGCCGATATTGACGAAACCCCGGAGAATTGCACATGCTCTTTGGAAGTCTGTGGGGAGCTGCCTGTGTGGAGGTGGGTCGGGAGTTCTTACAAGCCACGACATAGAAGAGCACAGCAGGATCAAAGATGTGTACCACCACCGGCGACGGGAATGATGGGGTGTTCACGGTGCTCATCTGCGGCTGGGGCACTCGAGGATTCCAAGAATGCCCCTCGAGGCCGTCTGTGGTGTTACCATCCCTTGGGCTTTGAGGCTTCAAGGCGGCTTCGTTTCAAGGACCTTCTTCGGGTCTCAGAGTCTCAGGGTGTAGGTCTTACGGAATATTGCGGAATTCAGGTCAGGGAGCATCGGGATAGCAATTCTTATCAGAAGCTCTGAGTTTTACGAATTCTGAATCACCGTGCGAGTGGGGACATCTGCTGCTGAGGTTCAAATTCCACATGCCTCGTGCAAAACCTGGTCGCCACCTTCTAAATTCTACAGGTTCACGTTGATAGCTCAAAACCGGTGTACGAACATGCATCATCCTTCCAAAACTTGCTCAACGGCTTCGGACGTTCAAACATTGCTTCTTCTGTCTGAAGGCCTTGTGTTCCATTTCACCAGGCAAGACTTGTCAGAAAGACTAGGGGGTCCGAATTCAGGAACTGAAAGGCAAACAGAACCTTGATTGGTGGCCCGGCGACCGCAATGCTGCGAAGGCGGCGTGACTCACTCTGTCATCGTTGAACCTTCCAGCAGGGAATTGGCTTACGTGTCACGGGTCTGCATTCCATGCTTCTATGCTTGCTTCATACTGCACGCAACAACGCGGAGATTGGCGGCGGTAGAGCTGAACAGAGTAGAGGCGTGCGATCGCGCAGTACTATGGCAGCAGTGCTCCAAAGCTCGGGGAATACTTCCTGGCTGTCAAAGTATGTGCAGTAGTTTCCGCACAATTTTAACAGTCGTTACCTCAGTCGATGGGCTGTATGTGCGTTCCAGTGTCGAAGCGGCCGATGCGGGCCAAGAAGCTTCCAAATCCTTCGATTTCCCAACCCATCCTCGGAGCCCAAGTCCATGGCTATGCTGCGTCAGCTTTAGGTGAGCTGAGGGGCTTAAACTTGAAGGCGGTAGAACATTATTATTAAAAGCACTCCAACAACTCATTATATAAACGCAATACGAACCAATGAGATTAACTTGTCAGTACAAACACAAGACCTGTAGATCCCACGACAGGTTCGATAGCATTACATTAAATAACAACCCAGAAGGAACAACATTAAATCGTGCAAACAATTTGACATTAATTAGTGTTGGTAGTATTGTGGGTGAAGCAAACAGTATAGGTCAAAATGCTATTAGTTGGAACCACATTCATGTTTCAAATTAGTACCGAATGTAAAGAAGTTTTAGATGGTCAGCCTACATTATTGGTGTGAAATGGCGATGCTTTAGGACATCAGTTTAGCTGTACGTTTCGAAAGTAGCACGCTAGCAATTGAATTAGTTGATGCTCATGTTAATTTACTGAGACATTTAAATATACACATCCAGCAGCATCAACTAGCGAATGGCTTGAACTAGATAATAACGATCGCGATCCAACTGTTTGGCGGATCAAAACCGGTCTAAAGTCTAAACCATTTTCTAACCTTTACGGAGCTGATTTCAACCACTATCAAGAAAACCTGGCTTTGGAAAAGCATCGATGGCCAACAGCTGCCCACCTTTCATATCCTTGGGCAGCCGTTGGAAGCAAACCGGGTCGGTGGCTTGGCAGGATCCAAACTTGTCGCCCAGCACGTCGGTCTTGCCTTGAGGCAAGATTTGCGACAGCAGCACCGTGGTATGACACTATAACTAAAAGAAGACATTTGGGCGGATATGTATTTCAGTCAACAATGCGCTTGTCCCCAGCATGGGCGAAGTTGTGGTTTCGCGTAATGAGCCTAGGGTCTGGGACAACAACGAAGACAATTTGCACAGTCTCCAGAATCTGGATAAGAGACAAGTGACCCTCCGGCCACTCTGTGCCTGCTTCGTACCACCAGAACTTGTGGTAGACGTTGCCACGTATCTCCACTGCTCCATACGATCGGGAACCCTCTCCATCCTGGACTGCCTGCCAACGATGCACCAGTAAGTTAGCGCATGTCAGGAAATGTTTTGGACGGCAAAACCGCGAATCTTGAAACCTCGGACCCTGGTTCCCGTATCGATCAGACCCCAATTAATATCAATCTCTGCCGGTGAATGCGGTCCTCGGCTTGACACTGCACTCCGGCGTCTTGCTTATGGCTGCAGGTGGTCTTGCCCCATCCTGCAGGAAAAACCAACTGGTAAGAGTAGCAACAACAGCAACTAGGGAAGTATAGCTAGAGTCGATAGCAAATGACAAGTAATGTGGGAAACGTTTGATAGCAGTTCGTCGTACCCAGATGTTTGTGCGCTGATTCAGACATTTCCACAAGCTGCTAGCCAGAAGAAAAACTACCAAACAACAAGGCCTGCCAGGAAACAAAAACAGCGGAGCGCAAAAACCATGCACTCGAACCTGCCCGAGAACTGACACGAGCATTGTCGGCTCGGCCACTCAACCACGATTGCCCGAGTCTAGCCCGCGACCTCTACCAGCCTCTTCAACTTACTAATTACTTCGGAGCCTTCCAAAACCCAATCCGATCCTCAATGTGTTTCGCAAAATCAAAAGCCCACCAAACACAAAAGATCCCGAACGCCGTGAACACGCTTAATTAAATGCAACATTGCCGATTTCACCGGCCACCATATTCGAATTACAGCCTTGCAGCATGAAAATACAGATTCAACGTGCATCATTGGTCTGCAGGCGCCCCGGTTTCGGGGCAGCGTGTGTGTGAACTCCTCTCGTACATGAGGTAAGGGGCTCACAACCCAACAGCGTTTTGCAACACAGCATGATGGAGTGGGAGAAGCCGTACATGGAGAAGTGCGTGGACGAGTTCGTTTGCAGGGGGCACGGCGCCACAGTTCGAGCCGTGCCAACGAAGCTAAGAAAGGAAGCACTTGATCAAGGACGTTTGCGTACCTGCCAAAGCTGGGGCCCATGTGCCAGCAAGATTAGAGGGCCCTTGTGCCAAGATTAGTTTCGCAGTTGCCGCAGAACATGTTGCAATCACTGCATCTTGCACGCCACAATCTGCATGATGGCTCGACCCCACATGACTCATCACATGTTGTAGTGGGCTGGCTTGTGAAAGTGCAGCTAGAGTATGTATTTTAAGTGCATCTGTCCGCGAGTGCAGAAAAGACTTTCCAAGTGCGTCTATGTGTCTATGCTCACATATGTATGCTGACACATACATACATATGTGAATGTATGTATGTATTTATGTATAGCGGTATGTCTACCTATCATCTACCTGCCTCCCGACCTTATCTCTTTCTATGTATAAAACTAGCTTTCTATCTATGCGGCGAGCCGGGGTCGCGATCATTGTAATCATCCGGTGGGGTCAGTGCGCATCCCTGGAAAGTCGAAGAACCTTGAAATACAAGGATGCGGGGAAGGTCGTGCAGCTGTCTCCTTCAAAAAGTTGCATAGGCTGCACAGGAAAAGGACGTGTTTCCGTGTCTTTACTGTAAGAACAATCAACTTTCAACATGAAGGCGCGGTGACCATCCAATCGCCTTTCGCACATCTCACGACATTGACATGCTCCCGCTCTGAATAAATGCACTGCAAATTGTGCCCAAGTGGGCATCATTCAACTACAATCCGGCATTGCATTCCTAGCATGGATTCGTGCTGGAGCACGAAGATTTGACCCCGTCGTGCTGTCCACTGCCAGTTGACACGAGGTCTGACTGAAAAAGAAAACTGTGAACTTGCTTCGACTTTGGCAGACTGCGTGGAGCTCTGCAGCAGAAGCAGAGCGCAGTCTTTTTCGAAATGACGTGATTGCGCTGCTCCCACGCAGGAGTCATCAATGTATGAGGTAGCGCGTCTGAGTGTTTACGTAGATGATTCTGGATATGATTATTGAAACGGATATCAAGTTGATACATGTCTTATTGTGCTTGCTTCGATCGGCACGAACCTCTTTGCATCACAATTCCGCCGAACACCAAGCAGCAAAACCACTTCACGTCGCAGCGTCTTCCACCCCGCATCGACCGTAGTCGTCTACTGGGCCGGGAAGAATGCGCCTATCGCAGGATGGTAATTGCTAGCCGTTGTTGTGACATCCCATTACTGCTTTTGTATCGTCTTCATTGCTCCTGGCCTGTTGGAGATCTTCTTCACATATTCACATGGTGACGAACTGGATAATCCATCACGGCTTTCTACGCAAGGCTGGGGCAAGACTTCCTGCGAGCAAAAGCAAGACGCCGGCGTGCAATGCCAGGCCAGGAGTTCACATGCAGTTATTTGGGCAGGCCGCGGTACCTAGCGAAGCGCAAGCTCCGAAGAAAGCTTGATACCGGCCTGTTTTCTGCGTCTGGGGGTTGAAGAATTTCACCTTGATTTCCACGAGAGGTTTTTATCCTCTGAGCAGACACCGACCTTGCAAGCAAGCGAGGACACACCTGCCAGACCGTCCTACGGAGCAGTGGAAGTTGAGGGCAACACCTTGGAGAAGTTTTGGTGGTACCCACCGCGCACTTCCTGGCCTGCGGGTGGCCACCCTGCAGAGAGAAGCAGTTCCTCTTGGTTTGGCATTGGTTTGGTTCTAGTGCATGGGGTCAGGCCAAGATTCCAAAACACATGCTGCCCGAGGCAAGACCGATGTGCTTGGCGACAAGTTCGGGGCTTGCGAACCCACGGATGCCGTGTGCTTCCAGAGGCTCCCCGAGGACATGGAAGCCGGATACTTGCTGGCCATCGAATCTCGGACTTTCCTGCCCAGGAAGCATCCGTTTGCCTGTGCGCTGATCTTGCAACTCAATTCTTTCTCTGCTATGACGCAAATTAGAATGGTAGACGGCAAAGATCACGCCGCTTCCTTTGATTGCAATAAAAGAAAGCAGCCTTTCTTCGTGAAGAAACATCAGTCGTGACGTGCCTTGACATGTATGATACAGCAAGGTTTGCAGTGAGACAACACCCTGCGACAGCTTGTCTTCGTCCCTTGTCGGGGTGTCCCTTGTTGACCCCTTCAAGTTCAAGCAGAAGCTGCACAGCCAATATGCACTCCGAGGATAGTTTGGACAACCGAAGGATTTGGAAGCTTCCTGGCCAGCATCGCGGATTGAATGCAGGGGCATACAGCTGGGTGCCCGAGTAAAAGGCTGCCAAAGGCACACCCAGACTACCCATGTTGAATCAGGTAGTTCAATCATTCCCCCATCCCCAAGTTGAGCTTCGTTGAGGCTGTCCAAGCACGAGTTTGTGCTCAGGGACATGCAGTCCAGTCTTAAGAGCGGGCTTGGTACTTGTTCTACGCTCCTAGTTTACGGCGGCACTTTGTCTGCCTAAGTAAGCAAGGAATGGAAGTCCTGGCAGTAACAAAGCCAAGCATATGTGGACAGTAATGATGCGTTGATTCCTCAGCATGATTCCTCAAACCTGCAATCATCTCCGACGGCTGACGACTTCAGCAGTTGCCGTCACCACAGATGCATGCTGTCGGCAAACACGCCAATCAGAAACATAGCTGCTATTGCTGCTATCGGCTTCCAAGTCGTCAGCAACTTGCAGGGGGGATCTGCGGCCATGTTGTCACAGACATACATAGTAGTTAGTTCCTCGCTGTGCTTTCGCTGGCACAGCCGAACTCCGTTTTACTGGCCCGTGTCCCGATCGAGATGTTTTTGGGACAGTCTTGTGGCAGTCTGAACCTAGGGTCAATCAGCGCAGCATAATACTATTGGGTAACTCTTTAGGCCGCTACTGCAGTGGGCACCTCAACTTGAGGCTTAAGCCCAGCCCGAACCCACCGCTGTTTCCCAACATCAACATCCTCCAAGGGGCCCTGACAGACCCCAAGCCACTTTTTGTTGCCGCCAGGCTTGACCTTGAGATCATCTTCGGCTAGCTAGGCTGTAAGCACCCGAGGCCTTAAGACCCGGGCTTTAGAGCCACTTAATCTATAATCAATGTCATTTGTGTGCATAGCTAGGCCTAGACGTCGACCTTCAACCTCGTACTTGTAGTTGTGGTAAAGCGGCAAGTCGGCCGGTAAGTGTCAGGCAACCCGCTGCTGGTGTTTAACAAGGACTATCCTTAGACAGGGAGAGGTAGGGTCTGCTCCTAAAACGCGACCACAAGGAACATTCGCAGGGCGGTTGTAGGCTTAGTTGGCGGCTGTTGCAGGGCACGAAGAAGAGCTTCAAGGCCAGATGCTCCGAAGATCACCCGCCATGTTTTTGGCAAGAGAATCCTTGTTAAAGATGCTGGTGGTGATATGCTTATGATGCCTGAAGATGTGAGATAGTACCACAGTAGCACTCTGCTACAAGCATGTGAGGGAATACCACGAGGGCAGCGCAGCGCGGTTCCAGTCATCGACCATTCTAAGAGAAGCTCGTGTAGACATTGCAGACTCAACATGACTGAACTTCTTACCTTAGGCGGCAAATCTCCGTGGCGACTACTTGGCGAGCAGCTTTGCCTCCGGGGACCCGGCCGACTACGACTCCCCAGGCGGCCTTGGAAGGTGGACCATCAAGGCATCGAGCAGCCACACTCCAGGGAAAGGAACCGAGAAGATGATGCAGTACACAACACGAAGCCACGGCGTAAGAACAGCGAACTGCTTCTCTTGTGATGTGCGCGTGAAATTTGAGCATTAAGGCTTGGGCAGAGGACGCTGTGGGAACCTCCATTTGAAACTTTTCAAGACTGTTACTTGACACGGAAGCAAGATAGAACATAGTAAAAGCCCAGAGCCAACAGGAAAGCACGCACCAAACAGCGCTTATATAATAGTATTGTCAATGCAATTGCTAGAAATTTATCCATGCTGCTGCTTTTGCTGCTAGCAATAATGTGCGACTTTGACACTGGGCAATACAAATACCGATCAGTAAATCGGGTTGTTCTGAAGGAGACAACTCTAAACGGTTTATACGCGATCGTGAGTTATGTAGATGCGGAAATACCATACCAAAATAAATGCAGGTTAGGCACAGCAGCAACTAAACGACGTACAAGCACCAAAACTTTCAGAGAACGCAGGACAAAATTTAGTAATAAGTGTCAGTAATCATAATCTTGCTGATAAAGTAACTTCGAAGCAGCAAACCATGTAAACACACACACACACATCTATAATAACACCGAAATAAACAATCTTATTGCTCTGTAGATGGTAAAGCACGTAACCCCAAAACTCAGAT